CATGTGCAGGGACCAGTCTCTAGTGCGCTATTACATCAAACTATCCCAGGGGAAGGCGAACATTAGTTTTCTTCCGGTGCTCATAAATACGTGGCAGGCCAAACGCCAATTAAAGTAGTTCAAATATGAAATAATTCAAATTCAAAGTAGGCTAAATACACGAAGATTCACAGTCAGAAGACTTTATTCAGAAGCTTATATTTCAGATGACAACCACCACGTTGTCCATCATTTGCGTTCGCATTCAGGGCATATGCACGAAAAGCACAAATAACTACTTTTTTTAACGGTTCCCTGTAATCACCTAATTCAATGATTATAGGCAGGAAAAATATTCAGATTTTAAAAATGCCTTCAGACGACAACCTCACTTTCCACCGTCAACGCTTGCTCTGAGAATGCTTACGTTCTGTTTGCAGTCTTTGAGTTATTTGCGATACCAATCAATTAATATTGACAATTTTTGAGCAGTTCAACAAACCACAGAAACAAATAAGAGGGTAGGCTGCATGTCTTCCATTGTGCCAATTTCAAGGGCACATTGAGGCAGAATTTATTAGCAGACGCGACCTGCTGCAACCCCCACTGATTCATCAGACAAAAACAGAAAATATTGAAGCTCAGAGTCGACGAAAGCGGATTTAGCTTTGGATTACATGGTTTGCAGCACAAAAAGCAAAAAAAAAATTTGAGCGTTTCCACCAAACTGACAATGTCGGGCAAGATGACCCGGATGATACCAATGTCTATTGGTATTAACGTCAAATTAGTACTAAAGTGAGAATTTTTTCTTGCATATCATGCGGCTAACCATGGACACAGAAGACTTCTCTGGCTACAGTCAGCGATGTTACCTGTATGAGTTCAAGAAGTTATTTCATGTCGATGAATCATGTATTTTGGTACGCGAGTTATGAAAACTTTCCTCCAAGGTATATCACAGTAACATCAAAGGGAACACAAAAGTTAGCGAAGTCTCACAAGCTTCACAATGCTGAAGTCCAAGGAGCTTTCGTTTATGGGCCGCTCCTTCTGCAGAACGAGAGATCACAACTGCAATCGTTTGGACATGTGATATTCATTTTCTATGGGAGAATAGTATTTGTAGGGGCTACAGCAAAGGCATCTCACAGAGAGACTGCCATGCAGATGGCTTGAACACGTACGAGATATATCGCCCTTTGAATCCAGACTAATGAGTTTGTCCGTCTAGCGGTAGACCGATGCCAAACATCAATAATTAGGGTACTCTGTCCTTGATCTTGATACCCCAAGGTAACTATGACAGTAGCAGCAACAACAGTCCAGTACTTATGGAATGTTTCCCGCGAGGGCGGACTCTCATACCAAAGCCACATGGGACATTGCTCAAGGCAGAGTGAGGCCACCCAACGACTATGAAAAAGACATAGCACTGTTGTGGATTCAACCTCTGGAGCTTAAACACTTAGTGGAGGGCTGGGATCATTGTTCGAACCTGCTGAAGGAGGTAATTTTGGACCTCTAAGGAATGGCAGGTACTGAAAACAAACAAATGGATGTATCAAATATAGACAAAATTTACTTCACAGGACTTAGACACTTAGCACCAAGATGTTATTGCTCTTCCTTCCGTACGTGCAAAGCGTCAGGATCGAGGTACGGTAGAGGTGTGTAATCAATAGATAAAAATTTTCTGCACCGAAGAAATGGCTAAGGTTTCAGATATTACTTTTGCAACAGTATTCATCGTACCCTGAACTGCCAGCCACATATCGTCAAGGTTTCTAGCCCTCTTTCTGTCTTAACCAAGCCTCAAAATGGAAAAGGAAAACAATATCATTAGGTGAAAATGAACATCTGGGATTAGTAAGAAGAGTGACAAAACTAGATCCCCGCATAGACCTTGCAATCAGCCATGCCTAAGACAAATCTTTGACTCCTCTGAGGTGCAAAACTATGTGTTTAGTTCATTCGAGTTGTAATACACTAGTCAACCAAACTTTTCCTCTGGATGAACTTGACAACAAAATTGCCGTCGGTCACTGTTTAAGCCCAGCATTATTTGTTAAACGCGTAATGCGAAGAGTCAATGCAGCGGCAACGGATGCCATCTTTTGTTTAGATTGTAAATATTAGAAGGCAAAGCCCTTGCCATGCTTAGTTGTGACGCTAAGCTGCACCAATCCTTCCGTCCAGGTTTGCTGCTACACGCTTCATTTCCTTAACAGATTCGTCTTACAGGCATATAAAGACGTGTCATCCCTTACCTTGTCTGTGACAGTGACAAACCCTTTGTCTTTGCAACACTGGCGGCCATTTGTAGTCCCATTTCACAGTTTAGTAAAATTTCTGCCCGCTTCCCAGTGCGTTGCTACTAAGCTTTGAGGAAGTGTTACCTGAGCTGACACTAAAATAGTTTGATGAAGAGATTGTTCGGCCTCATGACCATGATATATAAAGAAGGTTACTGTAAATCAATTTTATTGACAAGCTGCCACTTAATTAGTACGAGGAAGTTTTCCCTAGCAAATTACTGTAATTTAGTCTTAATCTCATTCACCCTCTAACGGTCAATAGCTGCTCAGCCAGATGACAAAGAAGAAACAAAATTCAGTAGATGGTGAACATAAAACCGGCGAGAAAGCGACAAGGCAAGTGTAACCATTTAGTCATAAAATTTTTACAAAATCGATTACACGACAGGCATCAGCAGTAAAAGGAGCGCTTCATATAACTCCCTCCTTTCGGCAGCTACAAGCGGTGATCTGAAGGTTTGGCTTGTACTTCTACCATGCTAGCCTCCCTTAGCAAATGCTTAATTGTACCATTTACGTATCAGATAACGTCAGGTATGAGGTCTTCAACTTAGGGCGCATAAACCTCTGTTTTGCCCTACTTAGTTCGTCGCATAGGCCAAGGTTGACCGCTCATTTCAAACTCAATGTTGCTACTCCAATAGTCCTATTCATATATCCCAAAGTTATATGCTAAGAAGAACGAAACAAATATTTGTCTATCAAATCGAATGCAATAATGAACAAACCGTAAACGGAGTATTTGACATCGTTTGACGCTTTGTGTCGTCACTTCTATTATACATTTTTCGCTGTCCCCACTTACCACACCCTCCTTCAATTATTTGTGGATCGGCACAGATGATAGATCCCTTAAGGTTTGTAGTCAGCGTATCTGTTTGCATGCTTCTATTCAGGCTTGGCTTAAAAGTTTAAAGAAATAAGGCTGGCGAACTCATGTTATGATAGCATCGTTTACAGATTCGTGACAAACAGTCGTCAAATCCACATTTAACTGTACCTCTGATAATCTGCCCATAAAAATGCCAATGGCAGTAACCACTGTAAATGCCATCGCTTGGTACGAAGCCTGTGCTAAAGGCCTCATTTCTACGGTCCTTCTGATTGTTACTTTTTTCCCAGAAATCTTTGACTTTGATATAGCCCTTGAGTCGTTAGCCTTGGCTCAAAGGGTGCAGAGCATTATGGAATGGTTTCACGATGATATCGTTGGAAACCAACACGAACCGTGTTCCCAATCCTTTCTTCTAACTCCCTCTAACGTGCATGTTGACAGAAATTTAAAAGCACACTGCACTGACCAAGAAACCACCTCCTCCAGCTGCCATGCCATTTTGATGGACAGAAGTCTCTGTCGCTTTTCGATCACGCGAGACAAAAGGCCACATAAAACGAATCCAATATCTATTATCCGTAAGCAGTTCTAACTCATGAGAACAAAAGTCCATTTCCAAATGGCGCCTTCTAGTACTTTTATTACTCAATAAACCTTAGACGTTTTGAATGATGCTTGATCCGCGTCAAAAAGTAAAATAAGAAAAGACAATCTGGATTTTACTGACAAAAAGTACGTAATTTCATAGAATTTTTTCGATTCACTCTTGAGTATCTGATTGAACACAGTATTCTGTCTTCTGCGACTATCAACCCATTGTTCAAAAAAATTTCATGGCCTCATCCTAGGATCCGGAGGTCTGTTTCTTGGAAACCAGACAAATATCTGTTTGGATCATTCTTCTTGTAAAGTGACCAACCCATTGTCACTTGAACTTCTTTGCAGTCGCTCGACATTGCAGGCCTCTGTTCTGGCAAGCATCCATTCGTTGTTCTTGCTGTATCCATTTGTTGTCCTCAGCATGCACCTTTCCATGCTCTGTCACGTATTTTGTACTTTGGGAACCGCATTCAAAATTAGGGTTTGCACCACCATACGTTAGCACTGGGAACACCACGTACTAATCGATGATCTTTCGTTTCAATAGCAAAGGCCCTTTCCCAGGAAAGAACATGCCTACAGTCTTTCTAAAGTGCAAAATATCATTTTTGCCCCCTATTGAATTCTAGAGTTAATTGTCCATTCTCCGAGTTCCTTTTCGCAGCCTAAGTCCAATAACTCAACAGGTTGAGGGACCACGCAATTTTCCCACGATAAGTGGAAGTAGAACGGCATGATGAGGCGCTAACAACATTGCCAAGCACCTCCTTTAACTTCGATATCAGAAGCTGCTTCATCGGTTGACTCTGATAAAAATTTACTTCCATATCAGTGTCCTTGTTCATTGCTTTCGACTTATTGACGACGGTTATCCATCGCTTTATTTTTAAGCTTAAAACATTTCAACTATCTCGTCATACAACTTGTTGTGTCTGTGGTTGTTTATTGTGCAGTATATTGCGCAGCTGTCAATTTTTGACATTCCTTCCTAACGGGTGGCAGGTCTTTTCTGTCTTTCCCCTCTATCTGATTCCGTGTTTCTTGTCTCTGAGCAACTGTGAATGTAGAAACACATAATCGATCTATTCAACTCGTTTCTCTTAGCTTAATTTTTTTTCAAAATGGCACTCTTCACGTTGATCCTGTACCGACTCTTTGTAGTACCTCGCTGACATGGAGTAAAGCATAATATGCGTTTAGGCGAGGTTTGGAATGTATACTTAAATTTGTGACAATCATGTGTCCTGTCTCCTTCATTTTTACCGCGATTTCTAGCTTCATCTGATGTCCGACGTTTTCTAGCTGTTCAACGTGGCCGCATCCCGACCACCCTTAATCCGTACGCCGGTTCGCTCACGTTTCCGAACAGCGACGCGTTGATCAGCAGTCACGCCTACCTGTCAAACTTTCTGAGTTTGCTCATGCGAGCCGAACCGTACCCGATTTCCCGGTTTGGCGTAGGTAAGCAATATCGAGGACCTCTCAGGCGTTTCCCGTCTGCCGTACTGTACGTACAAGTCTAGGCATTCTTCAGCAGAGCAACGTGATGGGCATCGACAATATCTGTGAGCTGGCGGCCAGGCTGTTGTTCTCCGCGGTCGAATGGGCCAGGAATATACCTTTTTTCCCGGAGTTTCTAGTCACTGATCAAGTAAGGACGAAGCACTTTCGAGTCTTCGACCTCACCGCCTGCGATAACTCAAAAATTGCTTAAGGTTGCCCTCCTGCGAATGGCCTGGTCAGAGCTGTTCGTGCTAAACGCTGCCCAGTGCGGCATGCCCGTTCATGCGGCGCCGCTGCTGGCCGCTGCCGGACTACACATGTCGCCGATGGCTGCCGACCGCGTGGTCGTTTTCATGGATCATATCAGAATATTTCAGGACCAGGTGGAGAAGCTGAAGGCGTTGCACGTCGACACCGCCGAATACAGCTGTCTCAAAGCCATCACACTGTTCACAACCGGTAAGACTCTAGCTTTAGCACTTTTCGGTTTAATTGCACCCCGGCATACTGTGCGGACGAACCACAGGTAGTCGATGATATCATATCAGTTACAAAACTGTTCTGCCAGATAACGGCTGATTTGAAGATAACTTTACCCTTCGGTAGAAGAAAAACGCCATCTAAAATATTGTCATTCGTTCATTCGTACTGTCTGTGATTTATCTGTGACTATTTATGACATCTGTGGCATGTGCTGTGTTTCCTTTCACGAATATGCCAACATCAAGTCATGAAACTTATTCGTGACTTTTCGCTCTGCCGTTGATTGGCTTGGTTCGCAGTTCAAAATGATCAAATATTCTCCTTTTGGCCCCAACGGATTATTTTGAATGTTCACTCGTCAGCTAGAGGCTCATCATTTACAGGTTTCAATTTATATGGGGGCATTCGCAAGTGTTCGTGCTTAAATGACAAATGCAATCAGCTATTCACAGGTGTGGCGAAAGTTTAGGCAACATTATTATTCCGCATTTATTACTTTGATCATCAAAGCAGCACCAAGAATATTTATTGTTTATGCTTTGTTCATG